AAGATTACTAATTAATAGGCATTCTACCTGAATCCACTTGAAAATAGAATGGAACGCATCCACAAATTTCCATTATTGTCGCGGCTTTACATTCACTGACACAGTTTTGATAAGTGTACCTAAATGTGAAATTCATAATTCGCTCGTTTTGAAATAAGCAATTTCTTTCCGAGGGTTCCATCGCATTCACGGCAGTAGTAGATCCGGTACATTCCGTGTCTAGTGAGATGAAATTAGTGGTGTTCATTTCACTCAGATGTGTCGGTATCGCAAAATGCGGAAAATCGAATGGGTTATGAATTTGGACCTGAAACTGCTTCATTATGAACAGGTTAATGGCAAATTGTATCTATCAAAAATTATGGAACCGAAAATAAATATTTAACTGTGTGTTTGCTTATGGAGTTTGAATGTGAAACACCAGAATGTTGCAGGTTAGTTAAGTAATAATTAATACTTAATAAGTATTTTGTAAAGACAAAAATTTTTGAGGCGAAATACCCAATAAGCAGTTTGTAAAAAAAAACAGAATGTTCACATTCTGATTTTTGCCCCCTGCCAAATGTTATTAAGGCAAAACATCTGAATTTACTTTACCTGAAATCCGATCGATGGTATATTTGACATGAAATAATCACTTGGATCGTTATCAAGTAACACTTCTAAACCTGTTTGATGTATGGAGCCAGAGTTTTTTAAGAAGTATTGCAGTTGCCTAATTTTAATACCAGCTCTAAAAAAATATTGAGGAAGCGTTTATACATTCTAGTAAAAAATTTATATTTACCTCAACTTCTTTAGACCGTAGTAATTGGACGAGCAACAAAAGCCAACAGGAGACTGGGTCGTTTGGAATAGGACGCTGCAATTAACGGCTTTATTCCGCCACTTGCACTTTTTGAGAATTACGTTGCATGATGGTGAAATTTGCTCAAATACCTAAAAACCTTATCGGTGTCCAGATTTCCGGATTAGTGTTTTGTTTCTCTAGTAAACCTACATGATGTTCACTGATCCCATTTTGTCTTAAAATCTTGCTCAACAAAGTATGTTCCTCTTCAGGCAGATTGTGATTTTTATTATCTACCAATCGAGCAAGAAGTTTTAGGGTGTGTGCTAATTTCTCCATATTCGTATAATTGTTTTTGTTTCTATAAAATATTTACAATTTGAGATCGCATTAAATATTATTTCTGGTTTCAGCTATTGCATACAGTTTTCTTGCCATATTGAAAGCAGCTCGCTTAGAAATCTTATTAAAACTGCAAATTGTGACAGTAGGGAAAAAAACCGTGCCGATTTTTTGTTGCGTTGTTAATGGTAATGTCATAATCGGATCGGCACGAAAATCTATCCATGACCAAGCTACCAGACCAATTGAAAGAGCTAGCGCTGCAAAGCAGATTACAAACCAGAAAAATCTGCAACAAAAACATATTTATTAAGAAACACTATTGATCGCCTCATGTAAACTCGTTTCCTGTCTGGGATATGTTACTTCATCATTTACCTGGCGAATACGGAAGTTCCGGAAACTATATATTTCCAGCCATGTAAGCCAGTGTATTTACAAAACACAGTCGAACAGATAATTGCAAACGAAGCAAACGTTTTTGAAATTGAAGTGCGCTCCATTGGCAGTAAACCTTCTATCTTGTGCAACATTCAACAGACAACAATAGTTAATAGCCCTAGCTTTGTTTCTATGTCTGCGATATTATCTGATGTATTTTGATAATTCAACGATTTGGCAAAACCGTGTCCATGTATGAGAAACAAATATTCATTAAATATTCAAATACTTTATTAGATATTCGGTTTGGACACGCTTTTCAAATAATTCGGCATGCCATAGTGGTTCTCCCAAAATGAGTGACCTGAAAGTTTAGGTGTTAGATTTATTTTATTTTTAGTTTAGATGAGAATAGTTTAAAGGTATTCTTAGCCTTTTTCCATTTTAGCGGCGAAAAAAAAAGACATTTTCCATATTTTGGTCCATTTTAGGCGCATTACGAGATGTCACAAACTAAAAGCGATGCAGTATTCCTTATTGTTCACTCAGACGCTTTTTTAGGAACTTCTTACTAAAATTAATTAAAAAAGCACAGAAGTTTGGTAGCTAGATTTGGAGACGGTTCCACACTAATATTTTCCAAAAAAAAACCGAACTTGCTCAACAAGCCTCAAATTACAGTTTGGTTTTCGTCGTTCGACAGGAGACACCAGTTTCATAATTTTTCATTTCTTGAAGATTTGATCACTTAGTTCTTGCTTCTGTGATCTGCTGAATGTATTTGCTGTGATGGACACACACAGGCAGTGTGTGTTCAGTGTGCGCTCATTTAACTAAATTTATATAAAAATTAAAACACTTTTTTATTCCAGAACATACCTACAAAGATTACTTGAGTATCAGGCTGGTAAACGTGCAAATTATTATTTAATATTAAAATATTAAGCCGTTTTTCCAGCGTACTTTTCATGCAATCATTTGAGTTATGTTTTGCACATGGCTGAAATGTGTTTATTAAAGAAAGTAGCAAAATAGCTTAATAAAAACTGTACAGCCCTCATGTTGGACTAGTTATCTGGCTTCTTTGACTCCCAGGAGCTTTGGACGCATCTTATCGGTTTCAGAGGTTAATTGACTTTATTCACTAATCTTTATAAGTATATCGACGGAAATCGCTGAAGTTATCACTTGGGTTGAGTCCAGGCAGTGTTTTCTGTTTGGATTGTTTAGTGTAATTTTAACTCGGGATACTAAATTTCCATTAATGCGGTTACTAAAATAATGTCCTACAAGTTAAGAAAAAACTGTTTATAACTGAAGTTTGCTGGGGTTGTGTTCTAAAGGTGCGACAATAATGCGACGAACACGGTGTTTTTCGGTTTCATCATTTTTCCTACTTCGTCTAGCTCCCAGTAGATACACAAATTCTACAATTGTAATAAAACTGAATGCTGTTAGTAACCCAACCAATCCAGCAAAAAATCCTACAAGTTAAAGTGTGAAAAGGGTTTGCAAAAACTAAAGAAATAATTAAAACTACCTAAAAGGCCAAGCCCTGAAAATTTAACATCTCGCCGATACGTTAGTGCCTTCAAAGAGCTCGCAAAAACCCTCAGAACTGTGAAATTTTCCAAATTCGTGCCGGACCTGAAAGTGTATTAATTTATCAGTCAGATATTTGCATACGTCTATCCATACATTTATGATGTACATCGATTTAGTGATTAATTTATGTACCAAGCTTCTAAAGCTTACTCTATCGATCGAGGATTTTTAAAATATGTCAAGTCCAACGGCCCCTTGGACATATACGATTGGTAAGTTATGTAGCCGCAGTTTGGATAACATTTGCATTTAGTATTGCTTTCTCCATCATGCGGCCTTTGACGATTTATGTCAAAAATTGTAGCTGCAAAGATGTAAATGATATCGTTTTCAAA